TGAAGATGTTGCCGGGCAGCACTTTCACTGTGGTCCGTACTTGCGAGCTCCTCATCACTCTAGTCAGTTCGATCGTACTGTTGGGGAAGTAGGCCCATCTACTGTTGCAGTCAGCTGTGCATAGTGTTGCTCTTAGGGTCTTCAATCGTTTCCATTACGTCGCCGTAGCGGCGATGCTCATTGGGGGTGCTATTGACTCCTTCGCTACGCAGCATGATGATAAGGTGTCAAAGCAGGATGTCCAGGTCGTGGCTGGAGTGCTTATTACTTTTTTCGGTAAGTTCTTGTCACAAATAGCGCGCGCCCGAGTAATCGATTGCATTCCATTGGTTGTTTGCCGATATGTAGTGTAGATCGCTGTGTCTTCAGGCGTGGCGCTGGCGAGCTCGTCCCAAGCAGTTCTGGTCGAGTGGCTGTATCAACACAACATCATGGTTAAGAAGCGATATGATCACTTAATGGAAATCTCCCTGTAATTTCTAATATAAAGTAATTTCGTGGCGAGTGACGGAATCGATAGATACACCACGTTCTACACATGTGTCGCTCTGATGCTCGGAACGTTCCTGTTCTCTGGAGATGAACCTCATTACTGGTACCAGGCTCTCAGTGTAAGTCGCTACTACCTGTTATCTCTTCGAGACAGTTTATTGTTATTCGTTCAGGATGCCATTCGAGCTGCTCCGTTTACTACTTGGTTGTGTCTTATCGGCTTGACTATGTCTCGTGCAGTGGCCATGACATCGAAGGTTGGTGTCACGGTCCACTCGGACGCTATGTTCAACAGATCTCTCACTACAGTGAGAAGAGTCTGTCAGGTGGGCCGATGATGCTCAGCTAGTGATAGGTGAAAATACACTGTGTGTTCAGATCAGCTTTATGGCGATCATTTTTCATGAACATCTGTGTGCCTTGGCTGTGTTCGGTATCGTCTTGAGTGTTGCAGCCAGCAGTCTCTATGCGTTTGCTGGTGAGTATGATCACGCTTGATCAGTATGGGAATATATGCACATGGTCTAACATATGTGTTGGTGATGAAATTTCTGAGGAAATTTTCATTGGATTCTGTAAATTCCAGGAACTCCTGTGATTAGTAAGAAATTTCTCAGCTCAGTTGAGTTAAGCGGACTTTTATTCCAACACTGCCTTTGATCGCCGGATGTCGTTGAAGTTTTCCTTTTCAGCAAACCTCGGTGCTCGCAGGAGCGCACGCCTCGCTGCCAAGGAAGGCGCGACGGCACCACTTTTACAGGAGAACCACGTCCTGGGAAAAACCGCTTGAAAAACGATCACAGACGTACGTATATTTCGACTGCTCAGTTGAAGTCGACCGACGGCCAAATTTTTACCACCATGCACTTGCCGGTAGTGCAATGGTCCACTGCATTTTTTCTCGCTCTTTTTTCCGACTGCCTGGCTTGGACCAGTAAGGATCACTGCGCACAGCACTTGCCGTCAGCTAGCAGTCAACTAGCGCCTACTAGAAGTCTCGGTGGCGATATGATCGAATAGTGTTTTGGTGGTCAATGGATCTCGCGGGATGTCGCGATTATTGGGGTTTGCCGCGCAAGAGTAAATAATAGACATCAGTTTGATGACCGCGAATTGAGTGGTCAATACAGCGCTAATGGAGGACGTAGTAGAACAATAGGCTCTATAACTATTCTTAGTACCGAGCTCTGAAACTTTGAGATTCTGAAAGTTGAGAAAAAGGTTACTCTCATAGAAGTATAGGGCTTGCCATTATCATGGTGAAACTACTTATTGATGGCTGCTCACAATCGGGCACGACTACACCCCTCCACAAATTCTTAGCATATCCGGTTTTTCGACTCCTGCACAGACACCACAACGAGCATCATCTTGCGGCTCAGGAAGGTATGTACTTATGCTTTACCTGATATGACCCCCAAGTTACAGGGCCTAACTCCTCGTAGTTAGTGAGAAGTCGAAGATTGGTGAAAAATTTTCTCCACATATTCTTAGCATATACGTGTTTAAATTGCGCCTCAAAATACGAACTTCTACTGGGGGAGTATATCTATAACTTTGCTCCTGATCTAATGCTATACATCAACAGAAACAGAATCGGTCATAATGGTATCCCTCCATGTTTCACTCTCATATTCGTAGCTGAGCTACGAATATGAGAGTGAAACATGGAGGGATACGTAGCTCATAGCGGCTCGCTACGGTAGCTCATAGAATACTTGATGAATGGGATTACATTATACGTTCGCTCTCTAATAGTTACCCTTCCCTCACAATTGTAGGGGATCCTTCTCTATCGGATGAGTTGTAACACATCATTCATTCGTCTCTCTCCACTTCTCGAGGTGTTGTGTTTGCCAACCCAAATTGATGCGCTCGGTTAAGGTGAAGTTGGCGAATTACCTCTAATGGTCGGCCCGGAAGACGCGGTATCGCCATTAGAAGGTCTCAATTGCGAACAACGCCAGGTGTTTTGTGAGAGAGAGGTGGGAATACGCCTCAGAAGAACATCTTGGGCCATAATGTGTTTATTTGCAGGAAGAGCTGCGAGACGAGCATGAGGAGTATCTGAGACTTCATCCCGAGTTGAGGCAAGTCCTGAACGATTTTATTGCTGCAAACCTGTTGCACCAGCCGGTAATTAGAACCAAAGCTTGCCGGTGCGCATCACTATGTGCTTGTAACGTTATGGCTGGCGGTGACGCCCATGGACTCCTGAGTGGCCTTCTCTAATCGACGAGAACTGATTGAGTCTATTTCTCTGTGCTCTGCTTCTTGCCGTGGTAGATAGTCATTCGGTTCGCGGAGTGTGCGTACTACGTACTACGTAGATGCAACGCAACTCACTTCGGAATAGAAATTCATTAGTTTTTCGCGTTCCCATGCGGCAACTGCGAGACTAGCCTGGAACTCAAACGGTTCGCGGAAACATGGTCTCACAGTTTGCTTCAGGACGGGGATCTTCTACCTCGACCTTGATGTTGTGCTCTAACTTAGGACGATATTTTCGCATTCGCGAAGAGTTATTTCGCGGCCTTCAACGATACTCCTAACGCGCAGGCTGGGGCAGAAAGTAACGCTGATTCCCTCCTCTAAGAGGAGTCCTCTTCTCTGCGGACTGTCATGACAGTCGGCAGTGTCTTCCTTCTGAGTTCCGAGGGCACTCTTCGCTCTTGACAGGTACTGTGATGGGTGAAGGCTCCTCGATAGCTGAGACGTGAATTAACATGCATTCATTTCTTTTTCATTTTTTCTGTGTTGCGTGGCTCATGAGGTCTTGAGGCACGATGTTATGCGTGGCCGAGTGAACATTGATGTGTGAACCCATGGATATGGACATGGGTGCAGCAACTACATCGGTTGATCCGCGGATTTGTGTCACATGACATGACTGTCATGTCATGACAAGATACTCCTTTTCGTTGATATCCGAATATTCGCAAAAAAGAATGGCAGTGATGATTCTCATGAACATCGAAAAATGGCAAATTGTCATTTTTCGTGATTGCACTGTGATTGAACCACGGCGGGAAAATATGCAAAGATATGAAATTGATATGAAAAGCTTCGGATATCCTTGAGAATGATACTCGGCAATGCCGAGTCGGCATGCATTATGAGTACTAGCAGATCCCGTTGCTTCGCTCCGGGGGATCTGTAGCTCCTACGGAGGGCAAAGTTGCCATGCACTTCCTGCAATTTGAGTATTTTTGCAACTGGTTCGTTCTGGAAGTGGAGTGTGGACTCCAGAGTGCGGAATAATAGTAGGTCGAAGTTGTAGTAGTCGTTATGTTTTGGGATGTTGTTTGTTCTTCTGATGGTAGTCGGTG